CACGCACGCACGCACGCACGCACGCAGCACGCACGTGTACGTGCACTACATAAACGTACGTGTACGTGTACGTGTACGTGCACTGCTTTGCTTCTGCCAACCACAACACAGGCACGCTATTAGGCCTGCGCGATGGTGTGTGCATATGTTTGCTAGTGAATTAGACCCGCTAAAATTCGAGACTGTTCGCTGGCAGCAATTGATCCGTGCGCCGGCCTTTTGATTTGGCGCACGGATCAAAAGCTGCCAGCGCGTGATACTTTCGTAGGACGTTCCCGCGGTCGCGTGCGCCTTGCCGCGAAACTGCGCGCAAGATTCGCGCTTAGCGGGCAGGATCAACACCTCTCAGGCGACGCTTCTCTGGTATCCGGTATCTTCTCTGGATTTGCGCCCCTGGAAGTATGGGTGATCATGGGGTGATATATGAAGAGCAGGTAGGGGCGCAAGTACACTTTCCTACCGGTCAATATGGCGGCCGCCGAATCCCAACCCCTTAACGGCCACCGTTCGTATTGAGCACATTGGCTGGACACAGCTGATACCCCCCCCCCCTCCCTCCCGACATACGCTATTACGCTATGGGCGGTAGAAACTGTACTAACTCTAATATCTCGCGAACGAATTGGGTTACGTTTCTAGAAATCAGATACCTATAGAAACATGGCTTAGCTATGGTCGCTGTGAATTTTGAGTTTATTGAAGCACGATTAGTTTAATTAATTAACAAATATATGCGCGCGGTATCGCGCATACTGACGCCTATTGCGTGCAGCCGGCTATACGCACGGCTATGGGCGGTAGGTAAGTGTACCAACTATCATATCCAGGCCCGTAGCCAGCTTTATATTGGGGGGGGGTTCGTTTTTAAATGTTGGCAATTTGTGAGGGCGCGAAGCGACCGAGCGGGGGGAGGGTGTAAGAGGGGGGTATCCCCCCACCCACACGATGGATATTTTGCAATTATTACACTAAAATGGAGCGATCTGGTGCATACCTGAGGTGAAATTCTTGCAAATTTTCAAATGGAAACATTTATATTTATTTTTTGGCTCGGGGGGGGGGGTCGCGCAAAACCCCCCAAACCCCACCTGGCTACGGGCCTGATATCTCGCGAACGAGTTGAGTTAACTGACGTGTTGACTGCAACGTGAATTGTTTATTCTATATTGTCTACTAGCTGAAACTTGCTGTATGCACTGTAGCTAATGCAGTGCATTGATTCAATGGTAATTTATCTTGGTCAGATATAGTTGTACAAGACAAGTTGTAAAATTTTGCACAAGGGAGAGATAGTGATCCGCTATGGGACGGCTCTGATTGGCTAATTTGGTCTCTTATTTAATTTTATTATTTTTGGCTAATTTTGTTTTATTTTAGAATTAGGGTTAGGGTTAACTGATTTCTATGTCCACAACACACTAATAATGCGCCATCTAGTGGATCACTATCTCTCCCCTGAGACCTACTAAATTTTAAACAGTATTAATGGCACAAATCAAGAATAAACAGAGAATAAACACATATGTTGTTATCTACTCCTGATAATGTGAATAATTCAACTATCCCCCTCCTACTCCTCCCCCTACTCCAACACAGGCTCCCCTCCTCCTCCTCCTCCTCCTCCTCCTCATGCTCCCTACTACTCCTCCATCACCTTCTCCCCTCCACCTCCTCTTCCTCCTCCTCCTCCTCTACGACCTATTCCAACTCCTTCTCCCATCCTCCTACTCCTACTCCAACACCTCCTCCTCCTCCTCC